ACTTTAAAAAATTTAATCAAACAGAAAATTAAGTTGGAGGAAACGTTCCTCCTACCAAACCCCTCAATGGTTTTTTTCTCTTTTTTTGGATAAAATTTGAATTTATTTATCCATAAAGATTAGTAGTACATCAAAGCAGCAGAACAGCTACTACAAGAAAAGATAACTACATGGACAACTTTAGTGTTTGAAGTTCTTTACTAATTCTTTACTACAAATTCAACCCCCATTTTATTGCAGTTGCTCTAGGTAAAAGGGATGAGTGTGGACAAGTAAAACTAAAAATTTTGCATCTAACTCCAAACTAAATTTTTGCAAGCAGTGCTGCTTCAGTTCTGAAATGCTGCTTATGAATTTTTCAATTCTACTCTATCCATATATGATATACAGCAGCATTCTAAGATAACTTGATTAAAGTATTATGCATAGACTTCCTTCCAACTTTCTTACCAAACTAGGCTAAGAAATCCTGCCATGAATCTAGCAAAGGGATTTATGTTATGCAGCTAAGTTCCTGCCAAATGCACTTTGAGTATCCACACTTAAAAAATAAATGTTGACTTTTTTCTGGGTTGCACTTACATAAAACACAAGTGTCATCAACACTTTGTGTCTATTGTTTCTAGTGAGCCTTGATTATGAGTCTGTTAAAAATAGCTAGCTAACTTATGAAACAATACTTAGGTATTGTATCAATGAACCAAATTAACTTGTGCCAAGCTTGCTTTCCCTGTTTTTCTCTGATCCAATGCCAAGTTGCTTTTGTCTTGAAGATACCAGATGTAGAAGGTGTCCAAACTACAGAATCTTTCTCAGTCTTTAAGATATAATTTGTCAAATAAAGAAGCCTGAATTTGAACTAACTTTGGTGACTTCTCAGGAGGCCTGGCCAGCACTAGTAGTTGCCATTCACTACAACAGAAAGTCTCGCATGAAAAGGTAGACCCACATGTCTAACCCCTCAATGTTATTAATTAACTGTTCCTGTACGCTTCTTTGTGCATGACTGCATGCCTTGTTTTATTCACACCAAATATATATATATATATATATATATATGATTCACATGCCAGTATTACGAAGTATTTCTTTGACTTAATGGAAAATTAAAACTTCAAAATTAAGAATGATATTTTTCTATCTAAGAGAAAGACAAATTTTCTTTAGTTTAATCGATGTTAATGAAAATTTCAATGTGGTGGACCGTTTCTAGCGTAAACTAACTACCCTGATTTCTTATTATTGCGAAGGCGACTAATCGCATATTGGTACCGTGTCAGAATATAAGATTAAGATGATTCTTTTATTTATTTATTTATTTATAATTAAAGTGTTTTTAAATTAATTTTTATGTATTTTGATATTAATATATTTTTAAATACTTTTAAAGGTATATCTTCCCATCAATTTAATATATTTAAAAAAATTAATTTTTTTACATACTAATCTCAAATTTTAAATATTAAATTTAATATCTAAGACAATATTTGTTTAATAATAAATCTAACATTGGGGTTGATGATTCATTAATCTTAACAAAAAAAATATATAAAAGGAATAATAAGGGTGGGATGTGGTTAATTATCAAGTAATTATAATCAACAAACCAAAACAATGACACGTTGGTTTGAGTAAAATAAACTCAGCTCTCCTTAAATGAAATCTTAAGTATGAATCTTGTGAATGAAAAGATAAGTATTGTAAGAACTTCTTTCTTTATGGGATTTGACCTGATTCGATTTCAAATTAATTAAAGTTCAATGTAATTTTTAAATGTCAGAATGCTCAATAAAATAAAATTAATAAACTAAAAATTTATTAAATAATTACCACCAACAAACTAAAATTCGGGAAGGTTTTTCCTTTCTTTCATTTATTGTAAAAGTGTTTTAAGATTAGTTTTTATGTATATTGAAATTAATCTTAGAATAATCATAAAAATGCAATTTTCTATCTTAATATGATGCATTTAAAAAAAATATTTTTTTTTATGTTGACCTTAAAATTTGAATCTTAAACTAACTTACAAAACAATATTTATTTAGCAATGGATAAAACCCATGACCGGTTTCTAAAAAGTTTTGTACACCAGCTGTGATGTTGCCAAGGCAATATCGATTTTTTTTTTTTTTATCTTAACTATATAATAGAAGGTAGTACTCTTATATTTTTTATTTTATTTTATTTATATATTATGTAATTTAAATTCAAAATTTTTACTTCTAAAAAAAATTATCACTGAATTATTTCAGTTGTTGACTAATTATTAAAAACAATAAAACAAATAAATGAAAACGAAATTATAATTAGCATATAAATTGATACAATTTAGAGACTTATTATATTTTATGAAAAGACAAAAAATTATAAGTCTTAATATTATTTTAATGTCAAGATATTTAATAATTAAAGGTCATATGATAAATTTAATAAAGTAATAATTTACATTATATCCTATGAATTTAATAGTTCCGATTAGATACTCAAATATTTTTAATACCAAAATATCCTTTTTTTTCTCATTTTTTATACTCACTCATAATTTAGATTTTTTTTTTTCATAAAAAATATTTTAAATTATTTTTATCATTCATATATTTTAGATTAGTCTATGCATATCACTTTGAGACTAAATTTATCTATTCAGTTGGATTGAATAATGGAAGCATTCCTTATCCTTATCATGCCTTAATGATTTCATGTAATTGACTCATGTGTTTGTGGGGCTTCTTGAACACGGCTCCACCGCTTATTCAAGCTTGTATAGAGAGTGGCAAATGCCACTTGAACGGAAATATGCGAAGCGTAAAGATCAAATAAACCTTCATAGTTTGACGAGTTTGACAAATTCCCAACCATCTTTCAAAAATCAAATCATTTGAGAGCTATGAATTAATGGTTGTAAAATAGTAAATACATGGTATTTATAAGATATTAATATATTGCAATGATTTAAGTACGTAGTGTAATAATAATTTTTTAAAATAAAATAAAAAATTTTATATTTGAATTGTAAGTATGTATATAAATAAGTAAATAAAAAAATAAAAGATAATTATTTTTCTCTTCAGTAATTAGTTTTTAAAAAAAATAAAAATAAAGAGATTAATCAATTATAATATTTTTTTGGAACAAACCCCTAAAAAGAAGGAAATAAAATAAAACCCAAACAAAAATAAAACAAAACAAGGCAAAACCTAATAAAAAAAAAACTCTCTCAATATTTATTTTTCAATCAAAAAAATCCAAATTAAAAAAATTTAAAAAAAAAAATTGAGTTCCTTTTATTCAAACCAACGAATAATTGGTTCAACTATAATAATTAGTTGGGCATGTATATAGACAAAAAATTTTATATAGGAATAATTATTTTTGGGTTTGACCTTCATTTTCTATTTTTGAAAGGAGATTTGACCTTTAATATGAAGAAAAAGTCATAATGTGCCTCCTTTTTATTTATAGTTCGGGCAGATAAGATCAAAGCAGCTTAAGAAGTCAAAAAGTGACAAATGGAGCAGGTATAGTAACTTAATTATATGCGTTTTGCTTATTAGTTAATTCATTATGCCCATATAGAAAATTACCTAATGCAAATTTAATTTTTGATACAACTTGACATAACAATTTATCTGTATTCCCCATGCAAGCTGTAATATTAAATTCCTTTTTGGTCATCCCTTTGACCAAACCCTCTCTAAATCAGACATGGTCAAACCAAAACCAACCCTTCAGGTACCTTCTTCTTATAACATATATATGGCAGCTTGGAGAGACACATTTCTCATAATTTTGTAATTTTCAGCAGCGTGCTAAAGTCGGAAACTGATCAGAACAATGGAGAAACAGGGAAAACGGAAGAGTATGATCTTGAAGTTTCTGCCCAAGGTGGCTTCTGCCGTTACCTTCCAGAACCCGCCATTCAGTCCCGGTAGGGACAAGAGATTCTCCGGTCCGATTGTGTCAATAATTCCAGACGAAGCTCGGAGAAAGACGTCTAATAATGAGAGTTATGAAACACCGGAACCCACTTCGCCTAAGATCTCCTGCATGGGACAGATCAAGCACAAGAAAAAAATCTGCAAATCTAAACGAGAAATGGCGGTGCGAGAGGGTTTGGAACTTAAGAAGGCTGCCTCTTCTCCTAAAGAGAAGAAGAAGCATTCCTCGGCTATTAGGGGAATGTTTACCAGTTCAAAACCGGCAACGAAATCGGATGAAAACAAGAAGTCACTTTCAGATAAAGCACCGTCGTTGGGGCAGATGAAGCAGTTTGCGAGCAGCCGTGTTGCGTTTGCTGAGTTTGATTGGAAGGCTGATCAGATTACACAGGTAGAAGAAGATCATCACCGGAATTATTACTCCGACGAAGAAGGAGGTAGGGGCAGCGATGGAGAAGAGGAGGAGGTGATTATTCCTTTTTCAGCGCCGATAATGGTGGGAGGTGGAGTGCCGTTGCAGCCAAGGAAAGAAATTAATCTATGGAAGAGAAGAACCATGAACCCACCAAGGCCTCTTCAATTGAATAGCATGGTTGGAGCAAAATGATTGTTTGTTTGCTTTTTTATTTTATTTTAAAAAATCTTGTAGGCTTTCTTTTTTTCATTTTTTTTTTGTTAATTAGTGTAGATTATGCCTCCGTAATTCATATATATAAATGTCTCTTAATTTGTCCATGGATAAAACGTTAAGCACATCTTTAGTTCTTAATCCTTTGTTAATTTATGCTTTGGGGGGATTGCTTTGAAATCAGTAGGTGTTTGATCCGATGTGTTTATGTTAATTTTATATTCATCTTTCTTAGCAACAATTTAAGTTTTAGTTTTAGGGTTTTTTCTCTTTTTTTTTTTTTTTGAATGATTGGAATCATTTATTAAACGAAATTGACTCTCAAAGCATACACTAAGGTTAAGGGATAAGTCAGAGCTTGCAGGTATCTAGAATAATTAGTTAATTACACTGTTAATATATATATTCTATACAAAATTAAAACTTTTTATTTTTTAAAACTAAGTAATCACTTTAATACAATTTTTATATTGTCAAGATATCCTATACAAAATTTAAGTTTTTTATTTCATTAGTAGTAAGCAATCACCTTAATATGATTTTTTTCTTTAATTTTGGGAAAAGAATGTTGAACTCAAGAACCTCAACCACAATCCAAAATCAAGGTTCACCTACTCTAGAATTTTTTGTATCATCTCCAACAACCAGAACCTAGCTTGTCTAAAATTTTGTTGGTCCCGACTGAATTGAAATTCTTGAATAAGTTGTAGTCTTTTTGCATCATCTCCAACAACCAGAACCTGGCTTGTCTAAAATTTTGTTGGTCCCGACTGAATTGAAATTCATGAATAAGTTGTAGTCTTTTTGCTGTATCATCTCCAACCACCAGAACCTGGCCGTTTACATTTATACAGCTGCCAATGTGGAAAAGTCTAAACAAATTGTAGGACCCAGTTCCAATTAACCTTATGATGGTCCGAACTAACAATCCAACTTAATAATAGTTTACTCCCTTTTTTTTTTTTAATTTTATGCGAAAATCTGGTTTCATTTCATATGCTCAAAAACATGCTAAACCAAGAACATTAGATACCAGCAATATCATCCATTACAAATTGCATAATAGTGTCCCTGAAGCTTCTTCTACCCAAAATTTATCTTTTTCTGCACGTTCTGTGTCAATTCGTGCGCTACTATGTTCTCCTCTTGTCTAAAAATAGTTTACTTTGATGTAGTCACGAGCACCTAATTATAAATTTTGGTTTATATGCAAATAATCAAATTGTAGACTAAGGCAAATTTTATCGAGTTTTAGTACGTTTTGATTATGCCAGTCTTACCCATTTTCAATAGAATTTTGGATGATGGATGTGCTCCTTCCAACATTTCGGGAACTTTAATCTATTGCTATGATTTTTGTGCAAAAGTTCCCTTACTTTGAGATTGGCGTTTGACTAGTAGTTGCACACACGGCAACATTTTATTTCCTAGCTTTGATCATCTGTTTTTTCGGCCTGAGAATCCAGGATGACTCACCCTTGTGCTGCCTGGAGGCCCGGATCCCCCTGTTTATTTATTTTATCAAATATAGGTTTTTAAAATAAATAGAACAAAACCAACAACTTAAATGATTCGGTGGTTATCTCTTTCGGTTAAAATTAAGATATTCTGAGTTCGAGTCACATGACATGTGAGTTCAAGTTGCATGACATGCGAATGATATGGAATAAGGCATATGAGATGGAATAAAGTATATGAGATGGTTGTCTCTCATTATACAATCAAAATAAAAAAATAAATAAAACAAACAAGGGAAATTGGGAATACTGGCGAGTGGAAAGGATCCAAGGACACAGGAATGGGCCTTGCAATTAAAACCTAGTGCCCCAGTGCCAACCACTCGAAAGGGATCATTTGTTGCTGTATTCTGCGTTTACTTGTCAAGAGCTTAAATTCTTTAATCAATTAAAAGCCTTTACTTTAAATCTTGAGATGAATAAGAGTAAGTTAAAAAGAAAAAATTATCTCATAATATTATATTATTCATCATTTTATAAGTTTGAAAAAAGAGTCACCCAAGCTTCAATTTTAAGTCAAACTTTCGAAATAAACCTAATCTTTCCCAAAACAACAAAACATGTTCCCGGCTATGTTTCAGCCAATTAAAACTTGAGACAATGGAAAAGATATGACAAAAAGTATTACCGGTAATTGGATCTGGAAAGAACACAAAAATATAAAAAAAAATACACTATCATAATTAACTTAAAGAAAACTTTTTCTTATTCAACTAGAGTTTTTGAATATGACTAGAATTTCACAATAAGATTCGTCTGATGAAATATTAAAATTTCATGAACAATGGAGTGGAATAATGCCGGTATTGGTTAATTAAATCAAAAGAGCAAAAAAAAAAATTTTTTTTTTTTTTGAAGCCTGCCTTAACATAATGTTGTTTTACAAGTAGATTTACAGTAAAAAAAAAAAAGAAGAAAGTAAGAATACTTATGAAATAACATAAACATCATCAATGCATTAATACATATGAGAAATTCATTAATGATATTTAAATAATTTCATAAATATTTTTATATTTTTTTTCATGCAAATCCACATGAAAATCACTAAATTGAACTCCTACTTTAATAAGTCACTCTAACTCCTTGGTATCTTAGAATCTCCCCAATAAGCTCTCCTTTCCCGGACCCAACATACCTTCCACAGATCTCTCCATCTCTGATGAACAAAAACGTCGGCACCTCAACCACGTCCATGTCCCTCAAAAACCGCATGCAGCTGTCGTTCTCATCACCGTTCATCCTCGCGAACACCACCGTATCAGTCATCTGCCTCGACAGCTTAACCACCGTCGGATAAACCTTCACGCAGGGCCCACAGTGCTTCAACCCCACGTCAAGAACAATCAGCTTTTTATCCTCCTTATGATCGTCTATCAGTTTCTTCACATCCTCCCCACTGTGTAGCTGCTGCACAGCGGAATGATTATCACCGTAGTACAACACGTCGCCCATTAGCTGGTCCGGCCCAATACCTGTAAGGATAACAATAAGGATCCAAATAAACGTGTTTTGCCTCTAAATTACTTTGAATTATAAATATTAATCATTAATTAAGAAAAATTTTTAATAATGGAAAGAGCATTTATTTAATAATTATTATTTTATAATTTAGTACAATTTAAATTATAAATATCAAATTTAAAATTGTTCATTTTGTTTTAAAATAACAATTATTTTTTAAATTAAAGATTTAAAGTCAATTTATATGATTATTAATCCAACCTTTTAAAAAAAATTAAAAGATAAATAGAAATCTTTTTATATGATAATTAATTAAAATAGATTTATAATAATATGTTAAAATATAAAAATTATTTTTTATCCTTAAAAAAAAACAATTTAAGATAAATTCAAAATAAAACAGTTATTTTATCACAGATTAAGTATATTATTTTAGACTAAAAAAATCTCAAATATTCGAGGATAAAATTGTGCCAGTTCGGACTAGAATTTCAAACATTACCTTCCTCTTCGTGGATTTTTTCCATGTTTTTGTAGAAACTGAAGTGTGGAACATTGTCGATATTTTCTCTCTTGCAAAGCTCTCGTGTTTTCTCCGATTCATCGCCCATTACGAGGACGAACTCAACATCGTTGCATGTGCGGCTAAGCTCAACCATGAACGGGTAGATTTTGCTGCTTTGGAGACTCTGACTCTCAGCATATTCCACTACAACAAGTTTGTTCTTTGCCGATTTAAGAACTTCGTCTAATTCTTCAATACTGTGAACTTTCTTTACCCTTTCATCTCTTGGAGCGTTCTTTGTACCAGGAGCAGCAGTAGCCTTTGGGATAAAACTGGATCTATTTGGTACGACTTTTACTGATGAATTTTTGGGTTTATTAAGAAAAGGTAGTGCAATCGAGCCATGGGAAGACAGAATATTGATTTGGGGGAGGAAGTGAAGGGATCGGAGGGGTTTGGCTAAGAAATTTGTTACTGTTGCCATAGGAGAGAGGTGTTAGACTGCAAAGGAACTGAAGTCCCTGGCTCTGAATTTGTGCAAGGAAATAGGAGAAACGGTTATGGAATTATCATGAAATTTGTATATCTTACCTAGCCATCAATGGTGTCCACTCGTTATTCAATCATCATATTATCCACAAATTCAGATACTTTTATTTTCTGTATTATTATTGGCCATAATATTCAAGCACTAAAGTAGAAAATCTATGTAAGTGATTTTTTTTTTTTTTGGAACATGAGAGAAATTTTGAGAATAGGAGTTTCTTTTTTTTTTTGAGCCGTCAGCGAAAATTGAATTTTTGACCAACTAAAGTCAAACACTAAAGATTAAAGACGAACCATTAACCAAATACTCGGTTTTGTAAGCGATTTTTTTCTTTTAATAGTTTACAATGTAAGGGTTTGGCGAAAAGGGATTTTTTAAGACTGTTAGTGGGATTCAAAATCTCAATCAATTAATTCAAGCGTCTTAAAACTTGGTACGACCCGGTTCTTAGAAATTATTTTTTTGAAATAAAGTGTGAAAGAGATTTTTAAATTTTATCACCAAGTTATTTAGGTATGTAATAAGAAAATGTGAGCCGGAGGCCCAAGCAAAAAATATAGCAAACTGTAATTTATTGGGCTTCCAGGCTCCTGGAAGTGAATATTTGGGGTTACCTTAGGGTTTCTATCAGATTCTAGCCCAAATCAGAAAATATTTCTTCCGATGGTCAAATTAGATTTAACAGGAAAAAGAAAAGATGATTTCTAATCTTTAGATAGGTAGGAAAGGTTTAGACATCAAAAAATTGAGGCAGACGATCATATTTGTATAAATTATCATGCAAGTATGTAACTCGATCCTTTCTAAAATACGTAGAATTGTTTGTGAAGCATTATACATGAGGACAAAATCACAAAAAGAAATGGGGGTGGGGGGTGGGGTGGGGAAGGAAAGTTTATTTGAATGTCTTTATCCTCGGAGAAAAATATCGCATGGCCAAAAGGCCCAAAACCACACAGATTCAGATTTGTATTTCTCAAGACAGAAATTCATTTGTCCATATTCCCACTCCCTTGTTCAACACTACATTTCTGATATTTAAATTTTATGGTTTGAATTATATTAAATAATAAAATAAAAATTATTAAATAAAAAAAGAATTCTTATATCAGAGTCTATTCTCATCTAATAGTTAATATAGCATAATCTTTTTTTGGTACAATTTTA